CTTGTGGATCCTATCTTTAGGAGTTTAAATCATAGTAGAACTCTATCCTATTTTTAGGAGTTTAAATCCTAGCAAAATTCTATCCTATTTTTAGGAGTTTGAATTCTAGTAGGACGAAAAGGTGTGTTGACAGCTGCCCCTCTTTGCCCATAGTCGTGTAACGGGGATAGAGCAAAGATTAAAAGACACACTTTTCGTTCGGTGGAGTTGAAAATTGACTCTGATGTTTCAATAACTCCCTGTCGAATTGAGTTATGGATGACTCCTCCGTCGTGAAGCCGAGTTCATCTTGAAATGATATGAAATTGAAGCCGTAGTTCGGAATTTGAATCAGCACGTGGCTTCTCGTTGCCCTTCGGTCTTCTTCTCGGTTTAAAGACCTTGGATCGGAATCGAACTCAGAAATCTTCATTGACAGATAGTTTTTACTTGAAAATGGTTGCTTGTCACTAAAGCACGGTTAACCCATGTCCTCTTCTTGACTTGAAAACCTCGACTGTAATCGGAAAGTAGTGCGATTGATGTGTCATCGAGCTGAATGGAATCGAACTCGACAATTTTGATGGCAGATAACTATTTAGCCTTGGGTTATGCTGTAAATGATGTGCCTTGGAGCTGAGCGTAGTCGAACTCGAAGGTCTTTGTTGACATATACTCCTTCTTTGAGTTGGATATCCTTCGTCGTGAAGTTAAAATCCAATCTAAAGATGGATGATGCTTATGTGCACGATTCCCTTCGTCGTGAAGTTGAAATCGTGGGCCTCTTCGTCGTGAAGTTGAGCTTGAAATTGGATATCCTTCGTCGTGAAGTTGAAATCCAAGTAAGTAGCACTGTTCTGAGTCCAATATCCTCCGTCGTGAAGTTGAAATTGGCTCTGGAACCGGGAAATTGTTTGTTGACAACCAGTCGTCCCTTCGTTGTTTGAACTTGTGTTGTCTCGAGTCCAATATCCTTCGCTGTGAAGTTGAAATTGACTCTGAATGAAATTTTGTTGACAATCAGCCGCCTCTTCGTCGTGAAGTTGAGCTTGTGTTGCCTTGGGTTCAAGATCCTTCGCTAGAAGTTGAAATTGGCTATGAAATTGGAAAGTTGTTTATTGACAACCAGCGATCCCTTCGTCGTGAAATTGAACTTGCGTTGTCTTGAGTCCAATATCCTATGCTGTGAAGTTGAAATTGGCTCTGAAATTGGGAAATTGTTTATTGACAACCAGCGGTCCCTTCGTCGTGAAGTTGAACTTGCGTTGTCTGGAGTCTAATATCCTTCGTTGTGAAGTTGAAATTGGCTCTAAAATTGAGAAGTTGTTTGTTGACAACCAGCGGTCCCTTCGTCGTGAAATTGAACTTGCGTTGTCTGGAGTCCAATATCCTTCGCTGTGAAGTTGAAATTGGCTCTGAAATTGGGAAGTTGTTTATTGACAACCAGTGGTCCCTTCGTCGTGAAGTTGAAGTTGTGTTTTCTTGAGTCCAATATCATTCGCTGTGAAGTTGAAATTGGCTCTGAAATTGGGAAATTGTTTGTTGACAACTAGCGGTCCCTTCGTCGTGAAGTTGAACTTGCATTGTCTGGAGTCCAATATCCTTCGTTGTGAAGTTGAAATTGGCTCTGAAATTGAGAAGTTGTTTGTTGACAACCAGCGGTCCCTTCGTCGTGAAGTTGAACTTGCGTTGTCTGGAGTCCAATATCCTTCGTTGTGAAGTTGAAATTGGCTCTGAAATTGAGAAGTTGTTTGTTGACAACCAGCGGTCCCTTCGTTGTGAAGTTGAACTTGCGTTGTCTGGAGTCCAATATCCTTCGTTGTGAAGTTGAAATTGGCTCTGAAATTGGGAAGTTGTTTATTGACAACCAGCGGTCCCTTCGTCGTGAAGTTGAACTTGCGTTGTCTGGAGTCCAATATCCTTCGTTGTGAAGTTGAAATTGGCTCTGAAATTGAGAAGTTGTTTGTTGACAACCAGTGGTCCCTTCGTCGTGAAGTTGAACTTGCGTTGTCTGGAGTCCAATATCCTTCGCTGTGAAGTTGAAATTGGCTCTGAAATTGGGAAATTGTTTGTTGACAACCAGCGGTCCCTTCGTCGTTAAGTTGAACTTGCGTTGTCTGGAGTCCAATATCTTTCGCTGTGGAGTTAAAATTGGCTCCAAAATTGGGAAATTGTTTGTTGACAACTAGCGGTCCCTTCGTCGTGAAGTTGAACTTGCGTTGTCTCGAGTCTAATATCCTTCGCTGTGAAGTTGAAATTGGCTTTGAAATTGGGAAGTTGTTTGTTGACAACCAGCGGTCCCTTCATCGTGAAGTTGAACTTGCGTTGTCTGGAGTCCAATATTCTTCGTTGTGAAGTTGAAATTGGCTCTGAAATTGAGAAGTTGTTTGTTGACAACCAGCGGTCCCTTCGTCATGAAGTTGAACTTGCGTTGTCTGGAGTCCAATATCCTTCGCTGTGAAGTTGAAATTGGCTCTGAAATTGAGAAGTTGTTTGTTGACAACCAGCAGTTCCTAGCTGTAGTGGAGCAGCCAACACTGGCTGATTAGAAGACTAATATTTTCCTTTTTCTTCATGTATTCACAAAATAAAAACATGTTATCTCAATCAAATTAAAGTTCAATATATTTTTTAAAAGGCATAATGCAAACAAATGCCCTAACATTTGGCACTATATGCATTTGTGCTCAAATCGTTTTTTTAGCAGTTCTACCCACAACGTTTGATTATGAGGCATAAGTTCCTCCGTTGGATGGAATTCGTCAGTCAACTGACAGTCGACGGGTCCATCTGACGTGGCATGCACATGTGGTAATCGATGATGATGTGATATTTCCATGTCATTATTTTTTTGTTGATGTGGAATTACACATGGACCCAGATGCTGATGTGACATATACAAATCATCATAGATGATGATGTGGCAGTGCCATGTCATATTTTTAAATAAAAATTAAAATATTATTCCTAATATTTATATATTTTTATTGAATATTTTCTGTCCAATAAGATGATGACACATGTCAATACCATATTGGTCTATATTTAATCCAAACAAAACTTGCTTTTAGGGGGAATTAAACCTGGGCTAAAAGCTTAAAACCCGTCACCAAACCACCAGGCCAAATCTTTCATTTGATTATCTTTTGCATTACAAAACATTTAACATATATGTTATGTCTCTCACACATTTTATCAAACACTTGGTGAATGCCTACAGAAAAATTGCACCAAAACGACGCCGTCGTCAATTACGGATCAGAGAAATGGAACTTGAAAATGTAACAGATTGTCATTTGTGGTACATTGGCGAAAGCAGTTTCTGTCCAGTTTCCAGTGGACCAATACACATTGGTTGAATTGTAAACGAGTTGAAACTCGTTGAATTCTTGGGGGTTTAGCCTTAAAGAGAAATGTCCCGGCGATGGGTCAAACAAGCTCTTCCAATAGGTTAAAGATCGTTGAGCGCTGATGTTCATCCCCGGCAGCCACGTATCCGTCGGATTATCGAAGCTTTGCCATATTTTTTAACCTTCCGATGAATATAACACCAGATTCCCACTCTCTAAAAGACTGAACCTTTTCGCTTTTTAACTGTTTGTGCTCTCCCAAACGACTGAATCCGATAACTCCTTCACTGCTAATCGCTCTGTTTCGGTGATTTCAAGTGAAGATTGGGTGATGTTCTTGATGGGTTTTTCACGATTTGCTACCCAAACGCGCGTTTGGGTTGGAATGGAAGAGTACCAATTCCTAAATACCAATTGGATTCACCATTTGTGCTGAAGAAACCTAGCTTGAAGGTACCGTTAACATTGAGAAGAGTTGTGTTTCCTCTTATGATAACGCCATTGTTGGACTCCAATTTCTTCGCTTTATAACGGGTTTCACATGGAAAAAGCTCATCCGGTGAAGATTTGGTGGCAGAGATTGCATGCTGAGCGCGAAACAATTTATGGCAATTATTCTGTTGGCATTCACCAAGTGCACCAAGTGTTTGATAAAATGTATGAGAGACATAACGTATATGTTAAATGTTTTTTATGCAAAAGATAACCAAATGAAATATTTGGCCTATTGGTTTGGTGATGGGTTTCAAGCTTTTGGCCCAGGTTCAATTCCCCCAAAAGCAAGTTTTGTTTGGATTAAATATAAACCAATATGGTGTTGACAAGTGTCATCATCTTATTGGACAGAAAATATTAAATAAAAATATATAAATATTAGGAATAATATTTTAATTTTTATTTAAAAATCTGACATGGCAGTGCCACATCATCATCTATGATGATTTGTATATGCCACATCAGCATCTGGTCCACGTGTAATTCCACGTCAGCAAAAAATAATGACATGAAAATGTCACGTCATCATCGATTACCACATGTGCATGCCACGTCAGATGGACCCGTCGACCGTCAGTTGACTGACAGATTCCATCCAACGGGGAGACTTATGCCTCATAATCAAACGTTGTGGTAGAACTGCTCCAAAAAAACGATTTGGGTACAAATGCATATAGTGTCAAACGTTAGGGGTATTTGTTTGCATTATGCCTTTTTAAAATTTAACCCTACAATTCAAATTTACTGGCTCCTCGTTGCATTTTCCAATTGCTGAACTAACGTCTTCAATGCTTTAATCCAAATGATTCATTCATGTAATTGTTTTTAGGACTTGATCAAGCGTATTTAAGAGAGAGAGAGAGAGAAATGAATTAATGTACTATTTAATTCATCAATGAGATCCCATTTATCGAAAATGTGATACTATAAAATCTTATTGAAAGAGGGGGCAATAAAAAATTACAATAAAATATATAAAAATGATGGATATTGGAAGATTTGTAGAAGAGAAAACAAACTCTTCTAGCTAGATACATAATGATATTATTTTCCTGAATGACCTGCAATGCATGCCGACCTTCCACACATTTGCAAGACTGTTATTTAGATTTCTAGGAATAGCACTGCTTAGAAAAGTTGGAGGGTGGGGGAAAGGGACTTAATTTTTTTTATCAAGGGAAAGGGACTTAAAAAATGAAAACAAAAGGGACCCAAAGGTTTGATTAATTAAAAAAAACACAATCAATCCTAGTTAAGATAGCCATTCCCCATCCATTCCTTCAATTTCTCCAATGTCCATGCTGTGTAGTAAATACCAAAAAATAAGTTAGTTAACTTGTAAAATCTCAATATCTTATCATATTAATAATGTATCTCTTGTATAAAAGAATAAAATCCACAAAGATAGAAAAAATTGTTATAATTAATTGAGTTCAATTGGAATAATACCTTTTCCATTCTCTTAATAATAGGAGTGACTAACATCTTGGTAAAGGAAAAGCCCATATCCAGAAGTTAAATGGGCTTTTGGAGGCTATTTCATAATTGAGTTTGAGTGATGACATAGGTGGCATCTATATTGGAATTTGGAAGTGTGTGCATCAATGGAAGACTGACAAAGAAAGGGTAGACTTCTGAATCTAGCAGATTCAAAAACAAGCAACTCCATTAATCAATCCAATTATTATATGATGGATTTCACCAAATATTGATTTTTTTTACTAGTTAAAAATCATACTAAATATTTAGTGTATAATGAGAAATATTCCTCAATTGATAAACTTTTAAAAAAGTTTTGGATTCTTACCAAGGTAAGGCAGGATCCTGGAAGTAGTAATCATCAGGGCAAATATCAGTGAAATGGTGTTGCAAGCAGGCGTCATTTGCATTCAACCAGGCAGGGAACTCCATCACTTGATCAAATGGTCGATACCCATCCGCCTCCTCAGCTTTCACTTCGGGTGCCCCCAGTTCCATAGTCTTCAAGTACTTGAACCACCATGCTGATGTTACCAGATTCACGGTGTCATCCCACTTCATCTGGTGCTGCTCTCCTAACGATCTGATCTCCGCCATTTCCTCGTCATCCATAGCTTGATGCAGCCCTCCCCCTCCGTAGGATTTAGTTAAATCAGCCCCCACTTCATGTGATGATAGTGCAACCAAAGGAACTTCTTCGGTTACAACCGACAGAGTCGGCGACGACGAAGACGACGGAGATGATATTGAATAGATTGATGCGTTGTTGTTGTTATGGTAAAGTCTGGTGTCTATGGTGTTGAAATCTTGAAAGTTAAGGTTTAGGCCTAAGGTTTGGCTTGGCAGAGTGAAGTTGATAGCATCCGTGGGAGATGAAAAACAAGGCCAAGAATATGGATTTGCAGGAGCAGGCGTAGGCGGAGGGTAATGTTGAGAGAAAGATGAAAAACTGTCTAAATTATAACTAGACAAGTTGTTTGGGGTGATTGATGGGTATATCCTAGGATTTCTCCTACACTTTGTCTTTGGTTCTTGTTCAGAAGGTGGTGGTGGAGAAGAAAGATGAGAGGTAGTATGGGACAACAATTGCTGCTCTTGCTGCAGCTGCTGTTGTTGGTTCTGTTGATCATTTGCATGTTTCATGGAAGCTCTATGGAACTTGAGTGCAGTGGCAATTTCTCTCCTGGCCTCAGCCATATTAAGCAGCCTTTCTTGGTAAGGCCAGTTGGTGTGAAGTCTCCTCCTCACCTGCTTCTTATGTTGTTGAGGTGGTGGTGGTGGGGGTTGTTGCTGGGTAGTCTGTGGCGGTGTCTCAGTAAAACCTTCACCGAATTTGGCCGAGCTCCGGCCATCGAAACCGTAGTCGGGGTGGTTTTTGGTTCTGGAAGTGTTGAGTTGTTTAACAAGGTTACGGATATAAGCACCGGATAGATGAGGCTCTTCTTTGAGGTTACTAATTTGATCAATTTCCATTCTGTCTTTTGTTTCGTGCTTGGAAGATCGACCCTTCATATCTTCTGTTTCTTTCCCTTTGTTTTGATTTTTCAAGTTAGAACCGAGTGGAGAAAAGGTTGGTTGGAAGAATCATTGATTTTACACTCAAACATACTAAAAGAAAATAACAATTAGAGAATGCAGAGAGGTAATGGTTAACAACTGAGGAACTGAAACGGAAGGGGTGCGTTATAAATACTAGCGCTACGCTTTTTCATTTCTTTTGGATTTTTCCTGGTTTTGCTAATCAACCATTTAATTACATGGGCTGTTAAGAATTCAGTTTCTCTTTTACCAATCTGCCTTTTTCATTACAATATATTTACAAGTCTGCCATCTGGACGGTTAATCTGCTTCCCCTTCCAACTTGTTCAAATTTTATTTTTCAGCTTTAAGTTAGTAAAATTGTCAATAATTTTTACATTAATTAATTAAACTTTTTAATTGATATTTTTTGTTTTTTACGTTGTAAGTTTAATATTCATTTATTCAAACAAAAAGTTAATAAGATAATTAGGCAATAACACTATTGGTGAAATTTAATATTCTAATATTTGAATACATGGTTTAAAAATTAAATATAATATAAAATATAAAAAAATTAATTAATAATATATATACATCTTGCATGTATAACTGATTAAATCCAAAATTTTTAAAAAGATTATTTTTTTTATTATTAAAATCACTCAATAAGTTTAATGACAATTTTATTCAATTATATTAAAAATATAAAAAAATACATATAATAGAAACTAGCTTAATTTAATAGTTGAACATGAATTTCAATTACTGATACTTTTATCAACAATAAATGAATAATATATCAATTTTTTAAATCAGATTTTTTGTTTTAATATTAAATTATAAATGAATTAAAAAATAAAAAAAATTAAAATATATTTTTATTATATGTAACTTAAATTAATTAATTAATAAAAAGTAAATGTAAATATTTATATAAAAAATAATTGAACTTGTGTGGCTTAAATTGAGACAAATATTGGAGACAACTTGCTTCAATCATAAAGCAAAATTTGTAACTATTTCATGCTCGCACAATAAAATTATCATTATCACTGTAAATAATAGAGTGGTTTTGATATGCATGTGTTACCTTGCTTTATTATTTTATAAAAATGTCTAAAATAATTTTTATATATATGTGATGATGAAGAAGAAGAAGAAGAATCTAAATTAATAGGTATATATATATATATATATATAACAGTGGAGGATTTGGTTGTTGGTCCTCATTTTGTCAAAGGGGACAGCTTCCGACTCCTAGGTTGAGGATTTTGGACGGTGAAAATGAGGTGAAATGGTGAATGGAGAAGCACTCTTAAGGTATCCTCTGGTTGAAATTCTTTTTTTTAATTTTTTTTTACTCAAATCCAGTGCAATCAGGTAAATCGATAATTTACTTTGTAACTTACTGAATTTTAACCAAAGTGAAAAAGGAAAATGTAGATGGGTAATATATGGTATATTTGTCCGCAAGTACGATGGGACCAGGCAGTGAGAAACGTCAGCAACCGCCTAATACAAGAGACTGACAGAAGAATCTCCATTATTGTTGTAACTTTCCTTTTTTATATATAAGAAAAAAAGGGAAGAACATAACATACTTGGAATATTTCTGTTTTTAAAAACAAAATTGTTGGACGTGATTATTGGGATAAAGTATAATATGCAGTTAAAGGAAAATGTATTATCGAAAATATTATTATTATTTTTAATATTTTTTTTATAAAAATTTACTTAAAACATTATTATTTCTACTAAAAATATTATTGTTAGGCATTTTATCAGGTTTGGTAATATATCCGTAAAAAAATAAAATTTTAAGTAATATTTTACTGAATATATTACCAAACCTAGTAAAATGCCTAATAATAATATTTTAGTAAAAATAATAATATTTTAAGTAATTTTTATCAAAAATTTAAAAAAATAAAAATATTTTCAATAATTACTTTCCTTAATTGTATATTAATGCTATCTTACAGTATAACTTCCCGATTATTTGAGTCTGAAACAAAGAATTTGACCTTTTTTTTGTAAAACCCATTTTACGGCAAGTTTGTTTGAGCCTCTTCTGTTCTGTTTCATCAATCAAACAAATTGGCGGACATGATTTGAGTCTGTCCCATGCCACCATCTCCATCATCACCATCATTTATAAAAACTGTCTGCTGCCAGTTTAACCAGACCCCTTTCATTTTTTTACTGCAACTTTAGTTCTTACTCAAATTGGAGGTGGCAGAGTCAGAGGAATGGTTTTCTGCTGATTCTATCAGAGCTTTACAGGCACCAGAAACAAACAGTGAAAATAAATTACTGCTGTCAAAATGATAGTAATATAAACAAATCACAACTTAAAAGATTTTTACAGCCTTTATCTACGCGGCATTGGCGGCTCAGAACATTTCTAAGAGAATCAGAATTTGGCATCTTGAACTACGTTAACATTACTACAAATATTGTCTTAATTAAATCAAAAGTAAACGGGTAGAACTGTAGAAGGAGAACAACATACACAACAAAATGGGGGATAAAAGAGGATAATTGCACACTGTTAATAAATCACGATTATGGTGAAAAACTATGCAGAGAAAATGTAGTAAATACAGAACAGAAACAAACATTGGAAATGTGTAAGCATAGCCATTGGGATACTTACAAGTGACACCTGAACAGACAGAAATATTTATAGCAAGGATAAAGATAAAACATAATATAAAAAATTTAATATATAGAGATGAATATATTAGTGTAGAATGGATAAGCATGCATGGCATTAGGCAATAGGCATTAGAAAATAGAAATGACAATAGTATTATGCCTTTGAAGAGGGTTTCAGTGTGCGTGTGTTTTCCTGAGGAGTAATAAATATGTTCACCAATCTCTTGATGCGCATGATATGTCATGGCATGCCCTCGGATGAAAAGCATTGCTTTCAACGAATCACATGATTATTATTTAAGCCAAGGTAATGTAGAACACGTTCCCCGTCCATGACCATCCATATATCCCATTCATCCTCATTCTCTGTCTCAGCTGCATGCCTTTGGATTCCGTTCACACCACCCTCTGTAGATTTTACTTAACCTTTTATCCTTTTACAAAGTTACTATCCTCACCTATTCCATCTGTACATTTTATTTAGGCATCAAAACAAGGCTTCTCTAACCAGCAATTGTTAGCTGCAGTGACAGGAATGGAAGTGGAACTAGAGTGAATATTAGGAAGGATAATATTGTTAAACTTAAAAAAATATATATTAAATATTTAAACTTAAAGTTTCGAAATTTAAGAATAATTTAATTTACGATTAAATTGTTGATGATATGTTATTATGTAGTGAGAAGGGGAAACTATTGGCTTCGAATTTTAGCTGTATGAGATTGGAGAATAGTGATTTTGTTAAAAAAATCCATGGTATATTTATTGGCGTTTATAATTAACCCGCAAAAATTAATTTATTAGGAAAATACCTCCAAACAACATTAATAAAAAAATACCCTTCAAACTGCCCACGTAAGACTACCTCACATTCTACAAAACATGTATAATGACCTCGTATATTACATAACGTGAAAACCATCTGACCTGGAAGCACTATTCATATAACCCAATTTAATATGAGGATAAATGACCTCGTAAAAATTGAATTTATTGCGGGTAGTATTTAACAAACATCGCGTCCTACAGAGCGCGAGGTACTTGCATTTCCTGGTCACAATATAATTGTTTATAAGCATGTTCGAGGGGTATTTCCAGGTAGTTAATATAAAAAAATTCGTAATTCATAAGATTAAAGGAATAATATTCGAATTTATCTTTCAATTGAGGTCAATATTGACACATACGAGATATTGTAAGCGGGTTAAAAATCACGTTGAAAAAGGTTCTGAAGCTTGTTTTGTGAATGAATAAAGCTAAAATAGTTTGATAGACATATTCGATGGGGTTTTTAGGTAACTAATTTGAAAATTTTTGTAACTTTAAAGATTATAGGCGTAGTATTGTAACTTATCTTTCAATTGAGGCTAGTATCGACACATACAAAACATTCTAAGCGGTGTAAAAATCATGTTGAAAATGGTTTCAAACCTTGGCTTTGTGCATAAAAAAGAAGCTAAAATGGCTTGATAGACATGTTCGGGGATTATTTTCGGGAAGTTAATATGAAAATTTATGTAATTTATAAGATTAGAGGCATATTATTGATACTTATGTTTCAATTGAGGCTAGTATCGACACATATGAGACAATTTAAGTGGTGTAAAAATCGCTTTGAAAATGGGTTGAAACCATAAGAAATTGAAAACTAATAAATATATTTTTTAATTACAAAAGTAGTACAATGAAAAATCACAATTAAAATTACATAAATTTTGATACGAGAAAATACAATTACATAATTATGGTACATAAATTGCAAACAAAACAATATTTTTCGTTGTGTTTTATCCTTGTTTTGATGGAACGATAAATTTCCCGAATCTTCCATGTATGAGGGAAGTCTTAGGTTCTCAAGTGGAGGTATGACATTTTTCATATCAACGTCACGAGCGATGAGAAGATGATGCCTTTTTAGAAACGATAAGTTTCTCGAAAAGGCCATGTTTCAAGAAAGAAAAACGTTCAACACTAGAAAGACAAGTAAGATGGAAGAAGAATCAGGCATAAAAACAAATTTGGAACCACACCTACGACTGAAACGACAACAAATAACCTCCAATGATATTTTTGTTCGAATTTACGGTCATAATTAATGCCACTAGAAGAGGATGCCTTTTTAGAAGTGAGACGTTTCTCAAGAAGACCATTTTACTCGTGTTGAAGAAGGTTTACCCATGATCTTGCAAGATACATTTTCTTACGATGTCCTTATAAAAGGCATCCACTTCTGGTGGCATAACTTATAACACTGATATTGGCATAAGATTCTCTAAGTTTCATGTTAGGTCGTACCACCAGAAGATGAGCTTCTTATAAGTAGATACCTAATATTCTACATTAGAATGACACTAGAAGAAGATGCATTTTATAAACGGGGTTAAACTGTGTTGAAAATTGATATGGCACTACTACCGAAAGATAATGCTTATAT